AAAATATTTTTTTTAAAAAAAGAAATGTATGCATGTGTGTGTTTATGTTTCATGTGTCCATGCATAGACTTCATAATTTTTTTTATTGTTGTTTTTGGAGGGGGGAAGACTCTATCATTTTTGTTACTTCCACAATTAGGAAAAAATTGATACTTTTTGAAAGCAGAATTCCAACTGCACCCAGATGGCAAAAGCTCCACATTATATTAAGTCAAAAAGTGATGTTGTGGAATGGCATATGCAGGAAGAATCATGTCTGTGATAAAAGCAGATATATGAAGGTTCTTTAAAATGTTTATGGGACGTGGGATGAAGAGAGAAGTTCATTTTAGTGCAAAAAAGGCTGAAATCCATGCACATGGAGGGTCTTCATAAAGTTCATGAAAATGCAAAGTAGGAACAAAGTTATGCATGATGTTTTTGCACAAAAATAGACATCTTTTAATTTTCTACAAACTTTCCGAAATACTCTGTGTGTGTGTGTGTGTGTGTGTGTAGATAGATGTGTACTGTTCTGGGCAGGCAAGACTGAGTGGTCGTCTTACAAACTCTTAGCAGAGTAATCTTGGAGAACACTCATTTTCCATGACGTCAGACATTTCTGTGTCTGAACACTTTCCATGTAAAAGTGCTACTTTTGTGCAAAGATGTACCTTGTAAACTGATAAGCGTTTTTGAAAAATTATAAAAGATGAAACGTAATGTGTAGGTATGCTTCAGCATATCCTGGAACAAAACTACTGAAAACAAAACAACAACACCAGGGACATTTGCACCAGGTCTGGGTTCAAGAAAGAGTGCACCTGTGTTAGTGTCTCCATTCTGATAAACAGAGCATGGTTAGGTAAGGTCTTGACCTTTAGGGAAGACTGAGTAAAGGGGATATAGGAGCTGTTTGTGCTAGCTTTGCAATTTTCCTGTAAATCTAAAATGACTCCAGCCGGCACTGCGACTCACTAGGCTAATCCTCCGCCTGCGGCGCCAGCACCCCGGGTTCTAGTCCCAATCGGGGTGCTGGATTCTGTCCCGGTTGCTCCTCTTCCAGTCCAGCTCTCTGCTGTGGCCTGGGAAGGCAGTGGAGGATGGCCCAAGTACTTGGGTCCCTACACCTGCATGGGAGACTGGGAGGAAGCACCTGGCTCCTGGCTTCAGATCGGTGCAATGTGCTAGCCGTAGCAGCCATTAGAGGGGTGAACCAACGGAAGGAAGACCTTTGTCTCTGTCTTTCTCTCTGTCTAACTCTGCCTGTCAAAAATAAAATAAAATAAAATAACTCCAAAATGAAGTTATTTCGACAATAAAGATACTGTAGGAAGAGGTTGGGTGGCCCTTCCACGGCGGACTCTGAGGGTCTCAGCCCCTGCCAGCCTGTTTTTGGAATTTCAACCACAGGGCCCTTATGTCAATCATATAGCTTCCTCTGGAAGCATGAGCTGGTGTTTATCACACTTGCAGGTTTGGGTTTCCTCCAGCAAGAGTATCCTGTACAGGAAGCCCTGCACCACTAACCCTAAGATGCAGACAGTGAGAGGTCGTTGTGTGCCAGCCACCACACTCAGAGCTTGCTGTGTGCTATTTCCTTGCCTCCCCAACATGACCCTCAGAGTTAAGGCTTAGAATTAGCCTCACGCTGCAGAGGAGGACATGGGCTTGCCCAGGGTGACATGCTGACTGCTGTAGAGCTCAGAGTTGAGTCCAGATCAGCCTGAGAGTAGAGCCTCATTGCCCCTCATATCCCCAACCTTGCCCCTTAGATCTGCCCACCCAGCAGGTCTTGGAGCCAGGTCGGCAACCCTCTCTCATCCTGGGGCTTGGGGTCACTCAGGGATGCATGGAATGTTTCCATCCATGAGCATCAGGTGGGGAGGGGGGTCCAAGACAGGTCCCAAGCACTACCTGGGCCCCTTAGTTGACTAGCTCTGATCAGAGCAGCACAAGGTCAGGTGCAAACAGACTGCCAGGGTGTGCATCCAGCTGGCTAATTCCTGTCTGTGAAACCCTGGTTAAGACGCTTGACCTTCTGTGCTTTAGTGTCCTCTCATCTCCAAAACAGAGAAGACGGTGGTAATAGTTCCAAGCAGAACTATAGTGAGGATTAATGGGTAATGCATCTACAGGGCTTAGAATAGTGCCTTGAGCAGCAGAGTAGATCTTCAGCTAAGGTCAGCTGCCCCCACACCATTGTCACCATCACTGCTCTCATAACCAACACCTATATCACCACCATGTGGACCCTTCTCATCACCATCAGCGTCACCATTACCATCATCATCACTGTTGTCATTATCACCATCACCATCACCATCATCATCACCACCACCATCATCATCACCATCATCATCACCACTGTCATTTTCACCATGACCTTCATCATCACCATCATCATTGTCACCACCATCATCATCACCATCACCACTATCACCATCACTACCATCATCATCACACCATCATCATCACCACTGTCATTTTCACCATGACATTCATCATTACCATCATCATTATCACCAGCACCATCTTCATCTTCATCATCACCATCATCATCATCATCATCTTTGTCAGTACCATCACCATCATCATCACCATCTTTGTCAGCACTATCACCATCACCATCACCATCTTCATCACCATCACCATTATCACCATCACCATCTTTGTCATCAAATCACCATCACCATCACCTCACCATCACCATCACCATCTCTGTCGACACCATCATCACCATCACCATCACCATCTCTGTCAACACCATCATCACCATCACCATCTCTGTCAACACCATCATCACCATCACCATCTCTGTCAACACCATCATCACCATCATCATCACCATCACCATCTCTGTCAACACCATTATCACCATCACCATCACCATCTCTGTCAACACCACCATCACCTCACCATCACCACCACCATCTCTGTCAACACCATCATCACCATCACCATCTCTGTCAACACCATCATCACCATCACCATCACCATCTCTGTCAACACCACCATCACCTCACCATCACCATCACCATCTCTGTCAACACCATCATCACCATCACCATCACCATCACCATCACCATCACCATCTCTGTCAACACCATCATCAGTGTTGCTGCTGTCCTCAGCCAAGTGTGAGGCAGCGACACTGACTGGCACAATTGTGATGTAACCCGGCCTGCTGAGGCCCCCCTTTCAGTGTCATTCCTGGGCCCTTGGTGCCCTCCCAGCTGCCCTTCATAAGACCCCTTGAGCACGCCACCTGGGGTGGCAGCACTGGCCCCCCTGAGCCCCTGACCTTGGCCCAGGCTGATGCCCCAACCACGGGCCCCCTCACCGTCAGTGGGATTGGCAAACTCCTTGGGCACTGCTGCCCCATCATCCAGCTCCACGGCCTCTAGGCCCGCGCGGACCCCTTCAATCTGGACCTCATGCTCTCCGGAAGCTGCGTCGTCCTCTGACCTCGCGCTCTCGCCCGTCCGCCGGAATTTCACCACCCTGGAGGAAAGAGCAGATCCAGTCACGATGGCCAGGACCCCCCTTCAACGGCCCTGCTACACAGGGCTTGTGCCCAACACAGGTGAAAGGCCTTTTTCACGGTGTGGGAATGGAATGGGTGGGGGTTGGCATTTCTGTTGAGTGTGGGAGGAGAAGCGGATTGTGTATCAGGGCTACCATGTAAAGTTGATCAGGGTGGGCACTGTACAATTCTAGAGGGCCTCTATTCTAGAGGGCCTCTATTCACACAGTGAATAAAGATGTCTTCCTCCTAGGCGTGAATGCTATTTGGAAGCATGCTGTTTGTATTTAACAGATGTAACAATTTGATCACCGAAAAGTGACCTCAGGCCCACAAGAAGGTGCTCACCCAGCATTGTTTTGTACATTGAAAGTGGATTCCAGGGAGTGGGCATCTGGTCCAGTGGGGCAGACGCCACGGTGTTACCTGCATCCATATTGGAGTGCCTCGTTTGCTCCCAGCTCGTCTGCTTCCAGTCCAGCCTCCTGCTAACGCACATCCTGGAAGGCACTGGGGGATGGCTCAAGTGCTCGGGACCCTGCCGCCCACATGGAAACCCATATCGAGTTCTGGGATCCTGGCTATGGCCTGGCCTGCCCCTGGCTGTTGCAGGCATCTGGGGGGGTGAATTCACGGATGGAAGGTCTCTCTCTCTCTCTCTCTCTCTCTCTCTTTCTTTGCCTTACAGGCAAAATGAAGATCAATAAAATCATATAATTTTTAAAAAAGAAAGAAGTATCTACATACAAAATCAGGCTATTATTAACCACCACGTTATTCCCTGGCACCAAAGAATAACTGGTGCTGTGGCACAGAAAGGGTAAATCTGATTTGGGTAGCACAGGGAACTTTGCTTGCAAAGTTCCAGAAAAGACAGGTGAAACCACAACAATTTTGTAAATCAGGCTGATTTTGTAAATACCTAAAACTCTGCTCCACTAACTCACCTTGGCTGGAAATGCATCGCCCACAGAGGGGGCAGGGTTTGCAGGGAGGGCGGCCGGGTTTGAAGCGGTCACCACCGCCATCAGGGGGTGGAGCTGGTGCTCTGTGCACTCCATCTGCACAGCCGCTCCATGCAGTGGGGATTGTTGTCACCATTGTACAGACCAGAAAACTGAGGCCCTGGATGTCATATGACGTGCCCAAGAATCCACTGCCAAATGGAATCTCATGAAGCTTTTCCCTTAGGTTTTCTTTTAAAAATGTCAAAAGCATGGGTTTTTGATCCATTTTGATTTAAATTTATTAAAAAGATTTATTTATTTTGAAAGTCAAAGTTACAAAGATAGAGAAGATAGATAGACAGATAGATAGATAGACAGACAGATAGATAGGTAGATAGGAAGAGAGATCTTCCATTTGCTGGTTCACTCCCCACATGGCTGCAGTAGCCAGGGCTGGCCAGGCTGAAGTCAGGAGCCAGGAGCAGCTTCCAGATCTCCCATGTGGGTAGCAGGGGCCCAAGCACTTGGGCCATCGTCCAGTGCTTTTCCAAGGCCACAATTAGCAGGGGCTGGATCAGAAGTGGAGCAGCCGGGACACAAACCGGCGCCCATGAGGGATGCCATCGTTGCAGACAGTAACTTTACTCGCTACACCACAATGCCAGCCCCCGATTTAAATTGTTGATACGGTGTGAGGAAAGGGTTCAACTTTGTTCTTCTGCGTGTGGATACCTCGTGTGCCTAATGCCATTTGTGGAAAAGACGATTCTATCCTCCACTGAGAGGTTTTGGCACTCTTGTCGACAATCTTCTGATCAAATCACTTGACGTGAGGGCTTACTCATTCTTCTGGCGTCTCTGGTCTGTTGAACTGTGTGTCTCTCCTTAGTCCAGTACCGCCTTATTCTGACTGCTGTAGCTTTGTAGTATGTTTTAATATTGGAAAAAGTTAGACTTCCAATTTTGTTCTCTTTTTCAAGATTGTTGTGGCTATTGGGAGTCCCTTGAAATTCCATATGGAATTGTATATTTGTGCAAAAAGTGAGATGGGGGTTTTCTTTTTTTAACACTTAACATTTGTTTGAAAGACGAAGCTACCATGTGCTGGTTCAATCCCCAAACACCTGCAACAGCTGGCTGAAGCCAAGAGCTGGGAACTCAAACTGTGTCACCTACATGAGTGGCAGGGACCCAAGCCCTTGAGCCATCACCTGCTGCCTCCCAGGGTGCACACCAGCAGGAAGGTGGATCAGAAGTGGGGCTGGGGCTTGAATCCAGGCTCTCAGATATGGGATCTGGGTAACCCACTTAACTGTTGCACTTAAATGCAACTTATGCAAACTAATTTTAAAGCACTATGCAAATGTGAGGAATTATTCAGTAAATCCCTGCCCCTCAAACTCCTTCAGTAATGCCCTTCAATCTTACAGGTAGTTACTGAGCACTTGCATAAGCCAAGAGCTATGCTAGGTTCTCTGTATAGTTTCCTATTACCCTGAAAACCAGATGTGAAGTAAGTACTATTATTATACCCATTTTATAGATGAAGACACAGATGCCCTGGGCCACACAGCTTGAAGGAGCTGAGGCTTCAGCCTGGTTGCCTTTTCTGTCAGAGCCCCGGGTCTGAATTACAGTGCGTTTCCCAGTGGGGAGTGGACCTAAGGCCTGGGCAGAGCTGGCAGGGGTTGGGGTGGGGGGAGGCTGAGCATTGCCAGACATGGAAGACGAGGCTTTGTTCTGGAGCAGGAATCCAAAGCTCCAGCTCCAGGCTGGCCGACAGCTCTTCACACAGTCACTTTTTGCTGCATCCAGCTGGATAGAGCCTCCGAACACGCACGGAGAGGTTACCACACACTGGCTGGGCCCCGCCCCCGGGGAGGTGTGGTTCTGGGGAGGGAGAATTTGCCTGCCTGACGCACCCCGGGTGCTGCCGATGTTGCTGACCTGCGTTCATGCATCAGAGTCGGACAACGATTACACTGCTCCCCCTACCCCCCACCATGCTTCCCCAGGGGTCCCATCCCACTGAGGGGCTGGTACCCGGCCCACCCCCGCTCTCTGCCAGCTGAGCTGGGTGTCTGCAGTTCCCGCTCCTCACCGGTGAGGCTGGCTGATGCCACCACCAGGCTCGGGTCTGGAGCTGGGGTATCCATTGCATCTGGGAGGCAAAAGCTTGGAGACAAACCACCTTAGGCCGGCACACTCGGATCCTAGATGGCACCCAGGGCTCTCCAAGCAGGGCCATCAAGCAGCTCCCTCTATTCAGTGCATGTGTTTATTTTGGGGGTGCTGATGGAGGTGACAGGGTGATTTAAAGCCAGTGGCATGCTTGCAAACTGACTCTCAAATAACCCACCCCTCCAAAAAAAAAAAAAACAGTGTTGCCAGTTTGCCAGGGTTGGGGGGGGGTAAGTACTCCCTCGCTGCCCAGTGTCACGCTATCAATAGTTAAACAGCAGCTTCCACAGGCGCCTGAATATTTAACAATCTGTTCCCTAGAGCTGGTAGGAGCAGGCTCTTACACACCACGGCACGCACAAGTCCTCACCCTACCAATGCATGCTACAACACAGATGCACCTAAAAATGTCCCCCTAAGGGAAAGGGGCCAGACACAGGAGGTCCCAGCTCTGTGACTGCATCTACATGAAGCAGCTAGAACAGGAGAACGGAGGCAGCCGGGGGGCTGGGGGACCGTGAGGGAGCGGGGAGGCACTGCTGCACGAGGCCCGGCTTTCCTTCTGGGGGGTTCTGGAACTTTCTCTCTCTGCAGACCCAACCAACCACAGATGGAAAATATTTGGGAAAAAATGACGGCACCTGCCCTGGACGAGTATAGGTTTCTCTTTATTCCCAGAAGAGAAGGCCATCTGCACAGCCTTTGCCTTGGGTTGGGTATTACAAGTAACCTGGGGGTGATTTCAAGCATGTGGGAGAGGCAGGCGTCCGGGAGCAGCAGGGTAAGCTGCTGCTTAGGATGCCTGCATTCCATGTTGCAGAGCTGGTTCGAGTCCCAGCTACTCCACTTCTGATCCAGGTTTTTGCTAATGCGCCTGGGAGGCAGCAGATGGTGACCCAAGTGCTTGGGTATCTGACACCCACGTGGGACACCCAGATGGAGCTCTAGGCTCCTGGCTTAGGTCTGGCCCAGCCCCAGCTGTTGCGGCCATTTGGGGGGGTGAACCAACAGATGGAAGATTCTCCCTCTCTCTCTGTCTCTCTGTCTCTCTGTCTCTCTCCCTCCCTGTCACTCTGCCTTTCAAATAAATAAACAAGTATTTTTTTTTTAAAAGATTTGCTTAGTATGTCTTTGAAAGGAAGAGTTACAAAGAGAGAGGGAGAGAGATCAAAATCCTCCAACCACTGGTTCACTCCCTAAAAGGCTGCAAGAGCTGGCACTGTGCCATGCTGAAGCCAGAAGCTTCTTCCAGGTCTCCCACATGAGTGCAGGGGCCCAACTACTTGAGCCATCTTCCTCTGCTTTCCCAGGGGCACTAGCAGGGAGCTGGATGGGAAGTGGAACAGCTGGGACTTGAACTGGTGCCCGCATGGGATGCTGGCTTTGCAGGCGGCTGTTTCTCCCACTGTACCAGAACTCTGGCTACTAAGCAAATATTTTTAAAACATATATGTAGGTTATGCATATGATTATATGCATAGTTCCTATGCAAACCCTACAACATCGTACGTAATGGACTGGAGCATCTGTAGATTTTGGTTTCTGCAAGGAAGTCCTGGAACAAATCCTGCCCCCAATACTGAAATGCAAATGTGGATGCTAATATATTAATATTAATGTCTCTGGAGAGGTCACGCAGCGTGTGAGAAGCACTGCAAACCAACTGGGCACCCAGAAGAAAGCTCAAGGCGAGGGGGGATGTTTCCAGCCTGGAACCAACCGAGTGAGGGGTGGTGTAGGATGGGCTCCAGGGAAGGGATGAGTGGTGGGGCTCCCTGCCCCAAGAAGCAACCCCCAAATCAAAAACATGAGTAATGGCCGGTGCCATGGCGCACTAGACTAATCCTCCA